GAACCAAATTAGTTAACCAAAGGACAGAAAGCACGGGCAGTGTCTCAGGCCTGACCTTAGTCCTGTCCGTGAGAAGGTAGAGGCAGGTAGACAGGAGAAGAGGACTTCAAGGTCATCCCTGGAGATGTGACCTTGAAGTGACCTTGAGGCCAGCCTGGGACACAAAATGTTTAAAGGGGGGGGGGTGGGGAGAGGTGGAAGAAAATATTCTGGCTTGATAAAATGTACTAACAATCACTGACCATCGTAGAAGTAATTCTTTCTCCATTATCAGGAATCATTCACCCATCAGAGTCTTTGGAGTCATTGAACTGCTGATTGAGGCAGTTCATTTGGGAGGATTCTTTCATTACAAGGCTGCTTTTGTTGGTTTGCTTGCTTTTAGATTTATTTATTTTCATGGTATGCACATGTGTTTGCCTGAATGTCTCTACAACTGCTGAGCTCCTGGTGCCTTCAGAGGGTAGAAGAAGGTGTTGGATCCCCTGGCATTACAGTTAAAGACTGGGGCTGTACCAGGCGTTGGTGGTACACACCTTTAATTCTAGCACTCAGGAGGCAGAGACAGGCAGATCTCTGGAATTCGAGACCAGCCTGGTCTACAAAGCGATTTCCAGGACAACCAAAGGTTACACAGGGAAACCCTGTAGCCGAGTAGAGGAATGGATGTAGAAAGACTGGGGTTATGAGTCACCATGTACGTGCTGGGGATCAGACCATCAGTCCTCTGGAAGGACAGCCAGCTGTCTTTTTTGTTTTTTTGTTTGGTTGGTTGGTTGGCTGTTTTTGTTTTTTGTTTGGTTTTGCTTTTTGAGGGTTTCTCTGGAAACAGTCCTGGCTGTCCTGGAACTCACTGTGTACACCAGGGTGGCCTCAAACTCACAGAGATCTACCTGCCTCTGCCTCCCAAGTGCTGGAATTAAAGGTTTGAGCCATCTGTCTTAACTACTGAACCATTCATTTCTCAAGTCCCTCGATCTAAGCCTTAAACTTGCTATCCACTAATAAGGATCGATGTCCTTATCCCGTGGCTTCTATGAATACATGCCATGCACTGCTCAGCAAGAGCAAAACTGTCTCCTGCAGAAAAACATCTCCAAAGTTCATATTCTGTCTTCCAGAATCATCTCCCTATTCTGCTTCTATATGAAGACACACACGCAGCATACATAGGTATCATGAAGATTTTTAACCTTGGCAGTAACACTGTGTCTAAACTTCATAGATCATCAATTTCCAACTTCTTGTGTTTTCACTATCAACCACTCCTTGAAAATAAAAATGCTGGACATTTTCTAGGGATATAAAATTAAACCAGACCCTGTCCTCAAAGGCTGGTTTTTCAAATAGGAATTTTTCAGAGCTTTGCGAAAGGAAGGTTGAGTAATACAGAGGAATGGCCTGGAGGTGTGGCTTAGGGGTCTAAGGCCTGCAGACCTCGAGGGAGGCCCCAGGTTCTTTCCCGGTAATGGGGTAATGGGTGTAGAGGAGAATGCGGAAGTCAGGAAACTATGTGAAAGCAGAAAGGAACCTCTAGGCTGTCAACTGGGGTTGGCCAGGTGACACACCTGTCTTCACAGGTTGCAAAATGAGCCCTATTACTTGCGGTGGTGCTACATATTTTTAATTCTAGCACTTTGGAAGCAGAGAAGGGAACGAGATCTCTAATTTCTAGGCCATCCAGAATTATATAGTGAAACCCTGTCTCAAAAAAATAGAGGTTTTAGCGAGGTATAATGTAAGATGTCATTAATCCCAGCACTCGGTGGGCAAAGGCAGGCTGATCTCTAGAAGTTCCAGGCCAGCCTGGTGTACAGTGTGAATTCCAGGACAGCTAGGGCTACACAGAGAAACTGTCTCAAAGAAAAAAGTAAAAAAAAATAAGAAAATAAAGATTAGGTTAGGGAAAAGATAGACATAGTGGCACATGGCTTGAGAGACAGAGGCAGGCACATCAGAGCCCAGTTTTCACAGTACCAGGCCTACCAGGGTTGCATAGAGACCCCTAGGCTAGCTAACCTTGGGTACGTGCTCACAATCCCAGCGTTCTGCCTTTGGAGGCAGGAAAAAAAGGAATCAAAGCAAATCTGTACAAGAGACCTTTAGACTCAGCAAAACAAAACAGCGCCAGGAATGTGACTCCCTGAGTAAAGACTCTTGCTTCACAAGCCTGACAGTGTGAGTTCAATCCCTAGATCCCATAGAAAAGTGGTAGGAGAGAACCAGCTCCACATGTCATCCTCTGAAATCTACACACAGTGTCACAAGTACCATACACATCACAGACACACCAACCACAAGAAGTTGTTTTTTTTTTGTTTTTTTTTTTTTTGTTTGTTTTTTTTAATGAGGGAATGGGAGGCCTCGGGAACAATGGCTGAGCAGTTAAGAGCACTGGATACTTTGCACAGGGCATGGAGTCAGTGCCCAGTGCCCACGTGGTAGCACACATCTATCTGATCATAACTCCAATTCCAGGGAGTCTGTTGCTCTTTCTTCCGACCTCCACAAGCATTAGGCTCACAAGTCACAAACATACATCCAGACAAAATACGTAAAACGAATCCTTAAAAAAAAAATGTGGAAATTTTTAAATAAAAATAAATGAATGGACACGTGGCACTGAGCCAATAGCCATTTTGTTCACAAGTACTCTCTGCACCTGGGGTGATCTTTCAAATAAGTACCTACCACCAGGGACTTGCCATTATTGAGGAAGTGAAACTGACAAATGGCTCTTAAAAGCTCTCCATTTTGCTTTCTAGCTAGAGCCTCTCTCTGTGTGCCTCTCTCCTCTCTCTCCTCTCTCTCTCTCTCTCCCAGCACCACCAGAGAATCGACATTAAAAGTGTGTACCACCATGACCAGCCACAGCCAGAGCATCTCTTAATGAAATTCCCAGAGAAGAAGCTAGGAGACAGAATCACGGTCCGTGTGCATGGTACTGAAAGTCACCACTAAGCTAAGACATTTTCAAATGGTAAGTATATAAAAGATGTACTATTTATCTGACAAATGATGCTTGTCTTCTTCCTTTGTAGGCTGTGTGTGTGTGTGTGTGTGTGTGTGTTACTGAAGCTTGATTTCATGGTGTCATGTAGACAAAGCGAGCTCTCTACCACTGAAATACAGCTACAGGAAACAGACTAAGTTTTTGTTGTTGTTGTTGTTGTTGTTGTCTTGTTTTTTGAGATGGGGTTTCTCTGTGTAGCTTTGGAGCTTGTCCTGGAACTTGTTCTGTAGACCAGACTGGCCTCGAACTCAGAAATCCTCCTGCCTCTGAGGTGTGAGCCACCACTGCCCAGTGAGGCGTTTATACTTTCTTATAAATGCCCTGCTTTAGTTTGACTTATTTCTTGCCAGCTTTTTGGGTTTTTTTTTTTTTGTTGTTGTTGTTTTGTTTTGTTTTGTTTTGTTCTGTTTGAAACAGGGTTCCACTGTTTAGTCCTGGAACTCACTTTGTAGACTAAACTGGCCTTGAATTTACAGGAATCTGCCTCCCTTTGCCTTCTGAGTTCTGGTATTAAAGGCGTGTGTCACCACCGAGCTTTTCTTACGTTATCCTGACTACCTTTGCCTCTGGGATTTTTCTTTTTCTTCTGTGCATCTTGCTTTCACTCTCAATCCATGGCTAACTGGCTGGATGGATGGCTGGGTGGCTGCTGCCTGATGTCCTCCTCTCCTTCTTCTACCTTGTTCCTTCCTATTTATCCTCTCTTCCTACCAGCCCCACCTATCCTTGCTCCTGCCTCACTATTGACTGTTCAGGGCTTTATTAAACCATCAGGTGTTTTAGAAAGGCAAAGAATCACAGCTTCATGGGGTTAAACAAAGGCAACATAAAAGTAGCACACCTTAAAATAATATTGCACAAGTGCATTTAGTGATTGAACCACCTCACCAGTCCAGAGATGGGGTCCTTAGTAAGTTAATTAAGTTAGTAAGTTAATTAAGTAAAACACTTGTGGTGGCATACACCTTTAAGCCCAGTACAAGGGAGGCTCAAGCAGGCAGATCTCTGAAACTTTGGGGCCAGCCTGGTCTATATAATAGTAATAATAATGAAGTCACCAGAGTAGGCCCTACTCCAATGTAACTGTCCTGCTGATACAGGAGTAGTCCTTTCTTGGGGACTTAGTCTCATTAATGAAAGAATTTAGAAATGAACTCAAGTGGAAGATAGAGGACAATTTTATTAGCGGTTTAAAAAACTCTGGGGCAAGCAAGCTGTAAATCTAAGCTGCCCAGAAGAAGAGAATAGAGAAGAGAAAGAAGGCCAAAAAGCCATGCCGTTTGAATAAAACCATAATAGAAGTCAGCACTTTAGAGAAAAAGTAAGAAAGTTCAAAGTACCAGAAAAAAGGGAGGGGGGGGTACTTAGGTTCTGGCCAATATTAGAAAGAGAGACAGAGAAAAGTTGCACCTTCCTGAGACACAGCTTATAAAGGTGACAGACACGACACATTTTGTGGTTGTAGGGACTTCACCAGGGGTGTGATTTCTGGAAAGAAAATGTGTATCATCTTATTAGAGAAAATTATTCCACCTATGTCTTTATATCGTGGTTTTGGTGAGCCTGCCTTCCTGGGGTGGTCCCTTACCTAGACCATTGACCAGCCTAAGCCCAGCTGGGATGTTAGGTCCCCTACCAGGCCAGAGAGTTCATTCTCTAGACCAGAAGGAACTAGATCTCCCATGATGGGCCTTGCTGTGTGACTTTTAAGTGATGAAGGCACAGGCATGCACAGAAGACCTCCTGAGGAAAAGGGGAGAAACGGTGCCTGCAAGCCAGGAAGAGATGACTCAGAACACACTCGTGCTGAGACTCCTCCCAGCCACAGTCCGTGGTACTTGGCTCGTGTCAGCCTTTGAAACTCGGGCAGTGGCTTTGCACAAGGAGCTTTCATGAAACTGGCTAGTGGCCCAAAGGGTTCAGTCTTCAGTGGCTTTCCCAAACATGGGGGTAGGCCATGCAAATCTGTTTTTTCTCATCCACTTACCCTATGGGGTGAACTTGCAAGTTGAAGGAGGTGAACAATTGTAACATCCTCTTTAGACCATGCTTCCATACTTGGCCTCTTGACAACCACCTACTTGATTCAAAGACATTTAACTTTTTTAGTACATGGATAATGTTCAACACAAGAATGGGCTCAATTTCTACAACTGGAACGAGGATAACCCCCTAAGGAATACCTTCTTCTTCTTCCACGTTTTCATTTGAGGTTTCCTGTCTCTTCCAGTAACTAGCGCCATCTTACCAGGTATGGTGAAGTCCAGCCTGATTCCAGACAGGGCTACACAATAAGACATTGTCTAAAAACAAAAGTATAAAAATTAAGTGCCTTCAATGGACCATTTCAAAAATAGTGGTGATTGTTGTTTGGTTTTAAATGTTTTTTCTCCTAAAGAGACATTTTCCCCCAGGAAAGGATTGGATGTATTATAAGTTATCTTTTTTGCCTAAATAAAATTTCTCCATACCCGGCCCCTCATTGCCCCAAATTCTGGGATTAATGGATATGGGCCACCACATTTGGTTCATGTGGTGCTGAAGATTAAAGCCGGAACTTCATGCTTGTTGGGCAAGTGCCCTACCAACTAAGCCACATGCCCAGCCTCTGTTTTAGTTTGAGACAGCTTTCCTATGTAGCTCAGGCTAGCTGCGAACTCACAGCACTTCTCCTGTCTTGGTCTTCTAAATGCAGGGATTACAGGCATGAACCACACTACCAAAAAACAAACAAACAAACAAACAAAAACAAAACAAAGAAATGACTTTAGAATAAACTTTATGATGGTCTCCTCATACTTAATTTCTAATTACCCAATTTACTTTCACACACATTAACCTTCAAAATGGTTATTATGACCTAGTTATGAAAGCTTTGTGTGATGGGGCAGGAGTGGAGCACATGTGCTTAGCTGAGGTAAGATCTGGGTTTAAACCCCAGTGTGCACACACACCCACACACCAAATCTATAGTTTTTGTCAGCTTGACACAGGCTAGAATCATTTGGAAAGAAGGACCCTGGTTAAGGAAATGTGGTCACGAGAGTGGCCTGTAGGCACTTGATTAATGATTGATAGGAGAGGGCCCAGCCCAGAGGCTGTGCTACCCCTGGGCAAGTGCAGGACTCCTCTATGGCCTCTGCTTCATTCAGTTTTTGCCTCCAGGTTCTGCCTTGGGTTCCTCCCCTGATTGTCCTCCACGAAGGAGTGGGACCTAAAGACTTGTGTGCTGGAACAAACCCTTCCCATTTTTGGACTGGGTGTATTATCACAGCAACAGAAACAAAGGACTAAACTCAGACTCTGCGTCTAGGAAGACTGAATTTGTGACTGTCCCCTGGACAGTGTCTGCTCTTATCATTGGAGTCTGTTTCTCTGAGCACTCAGGAGAAAGGCTGGAGATAAATTCCAGATACCACTATCTACTATCATCCTCAATCCCTAAGGGAATCTTTCTCCAACTCAGTCACCTTTCCAGGCCTGCCAGTTCCCGGTTACCCTTGTTCCAGTCTAGATGGAGAGGCAAACTCCTAAAAAGCTGCAATTTTAAAAGCAGCTGGAGAGGGGACTCATGGGAGTGGCTCAACTTCCAGAATCCAAGGTTAATAGGCTGTGAATGCCACTTTCTGTGTACATTGTCCCTGCTTCAGCAGTTCCTTTAAACTGCCATCATTCAGTTTGGGGAGAAGAGGAAAGTGGGAATTGCTCCAGCTGCAAGGAGGCAGGGAACAATGCTCTCTCCTCCCCTTGCTCCCACCCCTCCGATGCTGAAGGTTTCTCCCACAGAGGCAGGCCCTAGTTATAAGCAGGAGGTATCAGAAAGCCTATCCAATGTGATTTCAAAATTATTTCCAAGTCATTAGGGCCAATTACTTACCTTTGGGCCCTATAATATAGTTTGTTCTCTGCTAAACCGATCGTTTCTCCTGTCACAAATATGATAATTCACCAGGGTGCCTCTCAATCATATAGCAGAAAGAATAGGAATGAATGAACAAACTGCCATGAGGAGTACTCTCATGTTAGCATTATTTGGCAGTACTAGGGATGCAACCCAGATCCTGGAACGTGATGGGCAAACCACTTTACCACTGAGCTCCATCTCTAGTCTAGGCAATTGTTTTAATTAGAAAATGACTCAGGCTGGGTAGTGGTGATTATAATGGTCTGTCCTATCCCTTTAAGAGACAAGCCACACCCACTCCCTCCCAACCCTGTCCACTGAGACAAGCTGATCTTCAGCTTCTAGCCTGAGTCCCTTACCTTTCTCTCTCTCTCTCTCTCTCTCTCTCTCTCTCTCTCTCTCTCTCTCTCTCTCAGAGGCAGCTTCTGTCTCTCCCTTCTCCCTACTTCTCTCCTTCACCTTTCTCTGTTTTTTCTCTCTGCTCTTCCCCCTTCTCTCCTTCCCTTCCATAACCCACTAAATAAATATCCAATTTCACTCTGCATGGTGTGCCTCTCTCTTCCTCTCTCTCACCCACCCACCATGTGGCTCCCTGCTCGGGACCAGCTGCCTTTAGAGACCTTTAGCATGGTCTTGTGGAGTGTATATCCATCTCAGTCTCTCACCCACCATGTGGCTCCCTGCCTGGGACTGGCTGCCTTTGTGATCTCCCCGCTCGGAGACCTGCAACATTTTTCTTAAACCATTACAGTATTCAGGCCTTTAATCTCAGCACGTGCAGATCTCTGTAAACTCGAGGCCAGCTTAGTCTACACAGCAAGTCCCAGGACATCCAAAGCAACGCAGAGAAACCCTGTCTTGGAAAAAAAAAAAGGGGGGGGGTGCTAAGAGCATGTGCTGGGGCTTGCAGAGGACCTGAACTCAGTTCTCACAGCCCTGTCAGTTTCACAACCACTTATATCTCCAGCTCCAGAAGATCTGGGCATCCGTGGCCTCTGACCTCTGTGGTGACCAGGTACACAGACACACAGACATATACATAATGAGAAAAATAATTAAGCCAGACATGGTTGCGCAGGCCTTTAATTCCAGTACTTGAAAGGCAGAGGAAGGTGAATCTTCGAGTCCGAGGCCAGCCTGGTTTACAGAGAAACCCTGTCTCAAAAAAAAAAAAAAAAAATCTTCAAAGGCTAAAAAAGAATTCACTAAGACTGGAGACAGTGTTAGTGTTGAAACAGCAGTCTGCTCAGGGTTCTTAGGATTTTCAAAACTTATGATGAAATACCCTCTGCCCTACAGAAGAGTGCAGACAAACTGAAAAGGGAACGATGGACCTGCAAGCAAAAATTCGTAACAGAAAACTATCCTTATCAGTACCCCCCAAAAGAATCCACAATAGTGTGTGTGGTCCAGGCATTTCCACATGGGCTTTTCCAGATGGCCAGCAGAGCCCAATGCAGATTCATAAGGAAATTCTTGGACTTTAATCTCAACTTTCCAAATGACTATTTATTTATCTAGGCAGGGTCTCCTTACGTTGCCTCCTCCTGCCTTGGTCTCCAAACACTTTAACTACAAGTGAACAAACCTTGCAAAGCTTAAGCAACTTCTGCTAGAAGCTCCTTTTCAAGATCAATTTTTTTTTCCCTTTGGTCTTTTTCTGACCGGTTCCTCTTTGCATCCCAGGCTAACTTGGGTTAGGCTAGTCTCAGACATGTCTTTCTGTCTAATTAGAGGCATGTGCCATCATGGCTTCTCTCTTTCTCCCTCTCCTCTTCCTCCCTCCAGTCCCATTTTTCTCCTTTCCACTTCCTTCCCTACCCATCCTTTCCTTTCTTGAGTTTCTTGTGACCCAAGCCAGCCTCTAACTAGCTACATGGGAGGGGGTGTGGGGGGTGGAGGCTGGGGAAGGTGTTAATGACCTTGAATTTCTGATTCTCCAGACTCCAGCAGCCCACAACACCACACAGGCTTCCCCATTTTAGGTTCAGCTCCCCAAATTCCCTAGTTAATTTCCATGTAAATAACTCTTGAGTTCTGGCGCTAGGGGATGTTACCCTAGGGCCTCAAAAAGTGGAGGCAGGGCAATGCTCTACCTAAGCCTGTGTCTCCAGTGCACTTCCCAGCTCTTCACTGGGTAAAAGACAGTATTTCTTCCTGTCCCTGTTTTTTTTATATTTTTTCCATGATTCGTTAAGATATTGGGGCCCTTAATCGCATGGTGCTTGCCTTTAATCGCAGCACCCAGGAGACAGAGGTAGACACGTCTTTGTGAGTTCAAGGCCAGCCTGGTGTACATAGGGAGTTCCAGGCCAGCCAGGGCTACACAGTAAGAACATGTAAAAGAATAAAAAAAAAATCTATCAATAAAATTAGTTAATTTTAAAATGCTATGGCTGGGAGTATGGAGTATGACTTAGTCCTACAGTGACGCCTACCCAGCATACCCTGATGATGCCCTGGTGCTATTCCCAGACCACCACACAGGACTCTTGTTAGATAGATACCTAGGTAGGTAGGTAGGTAGGTAGATAGATAGATAGATAGATAGATAGATGCAGAAATGAGCGTGACAGAGCCAGCACAGCTTTTTTTAGAATAGCCCTCTGACAGGAGGGAAGTTTTTTTGTGCTATGGTCTCCACCTCCTTGGCTCAAGTAATCTTGTCTTAACAAGGAGTTGGAACTATTAGCTTGAGCCACCTGCCACCACACTCAGTATCACAAAGCTTCTGAGTAGAAGAACCAGCAAGACTAGGTGACAATGGCCATGTGAGACAAGGTTTGGGAGGGGAACAGGGATGAAAAAAATGATGGTTTCTGTTTTGGAGCTACCTGATGTGGGAGTGATTTCTTATTAATAAAGAAACTGGCTAAGCCCCTTGATAGGCCAACCCTTAGGTGGGTGGAGTAAACAGAACAGAATGCTGGGAAAAAGAAGCTGAGTCTAGGAGTCGCCATGATTCTCCCACTCCAGACAGACGCAGGTTAAGATCTTTCCTGATAAGCCACCACATGGGCTACACAGATTATTAGAAATGGGTTAAATTAATATGTAAGAGCTAGCCAATAAGAGGCTGAAACCTATGGGCCAGGCAGTGTTTAAAAGAATACAGTTCCGTGTAATTATTTCGGGGCATAAGCTAGAGCCATGCGGGCGGCCGGGTGCTGAGGACGCAGCCTCGCCACTCCTTCTACATCTACCCTTTATGTTTGTCTGTTTCTGTTTGATGTGAGATGTTTGGTTTCTGTAACTTTGCCTTCTTCCCTTAAAGCGTTTCAGTCAGACGGTGGTGGTACACGCCTTTAATCCCAGCACTTGGGGGACAGAGGCAGGTGGATCTCTGTTGAGTTTGAGGCCAGCCTGGTCTACGGAGTGAGTTCCAGGACAGGCCCCCAAAGCTACAGAAAAACCCTGTCTCGTCTTAACAAAACAACAAGTAAACAAACAAAAAGTCAGTTTCAGTAGAGAAAGAAAGAGCGGAGGGAGGGAGGGAGGGAGGGGGAGAGAGAGAGAGAGAGAGAGAGAGAGAGAGAGAGAGAGAGAGAGAGAGAGAGGCCTTCCTGATGGGCCTGTCCAACGAGAATTCTGGACTAGGCCAACTTGGCTTCCTCAGAAAAACACCCGAGCAAACGCTTGATGTCTCAGAACAGCTTCTTTCTGCAGTCTCCTACTCGATCACTAGAGTCTTTTTTTTTTTTTTTTTTTTTTTTTTTGGTTTTTCGAGACAGGGTTTCTCTGTGGCTTTGGAGCCTGTCCTGGCACTAGCTCTGTAGACAAGGCTGGTCTCAAACTCACAGAGATCCGCCTGCCTCTGCCTCCCGAGTGCTGGGATTAAAGGCGCGCGCCACCATCGTCCCGGGATCACTAGAGTCTTAAAGTCCCACTCCAGTGTACCCGTCCAGCAGGTCCAGTTATTCCAGGGTCTGAAGAGGCACTACCTGAAAGAACATGGGCAGGAGAGAGAAACGAGACCAAGCAAAATTCACTTGTCAAGGCCTCTCTTTATTAGCGATGGTTGCGACTTATATAGCCCTTGAAAGAGGAATTTGGCTTGGGGTGGGGGGGTAGAAGGAATTTTGCTTGGGTAGCAAAGGTCACTAGTTAGCACACCTGGTAAGCATGGCTCCATTAACAAACAGCTCTCAAGGTAGTTGGGATGTGGGAGCTCTCTGCAAACATTCTTAGGACAATGGTCCCTGCTATCAAGATAGTTGGGATGTGAGGCAGGTTCCCTTAGCAAACAGCTCTCAAGGTAGTGGGGCTTTCTGCAAACATCCTTAGTACAATGGTCCCTGCTATCATCTTTGGGACAAGGGTCCCTGACACTCCAGGGGCTGCTGAGATGGCACAGCAGGCAGGAGTGCTTGCCGCCAGTCCTGACTGATTAAGTTCAGTCCCCGGGATCCACACGTCCACATGGTAGAAGGTGAGAACAGATTCCTACAAGTCTCTCTCTCTCTCTCTCTCTCTCTCTCTCTCTCTCTCTCTCTCTCTCTCTCCCACACACACTGAATGAATAAATATTATTAAAAAAAAAAACTAAAATCCTACTCGAAGATAAGCAATTGAAGGGTTCTCTGCCATATGAGAACCTATCTAAAAAAGAATTTTAAAAAAATCCTACTAAAATTGGCGGCTAAAGTTACCTGCTGGGAGTGGAGAGGGGGGCAGCTAGAAAAAGTCCCACGAGAAGGGTCATCGAGGACCGTAAATACTGACCTTGGCTCCTCTCCAAGTTGGTGACAGAAGAGCTTGGGATGGAGCCACGTGGCCTCTGCAGCTCTCGGCAAACTTCTGAAATGGCAGCCATGTGACATCCTCGGCTCTGACAAAAACACAGAAACTCCTTGACTGTCTCACTTTAAGCAGCTTTGGTGTCTTGGCTTCAAGCTAGCTTAGCAGGATTGAAGCACTGCTCAAACATTAAATTCACCTGAAAATAATTTTAAGTTGGGAGTTGATGGAACTGGAGACATCGGCCTGGAGTCAAGGAAGGACCCTTGTTTTTTGTTTTTGTTTGTTTTTCATTACTGGGGATGGAACTTGTACCTTAAACTTTGTCCATGCTAATTAAGTACTGTATTCTGAGTGACACCTCAACCCTTGGCTGATGGTGTTGATACTGAAGCAAGGTCTCATATAGCCCAGGCTACCCTCCAACTCACTCTATAACCAAGGATGACATTGAACTTTTCTTCTCCTTACCGTAACCTTCACATCCTGATTGTGTTCAATACCTCACATGGTTTAAAGCTGTGGAAAATTGAACCACTGGCGTGCTAGGCAAACACACTACCATCTGAACCACATCCCAGGCCAGCCCTTTGGTTCTTTGAGGTAGGGTCTCATTGTGTAGCCCAGGCTAGCTTCAAACTTGCTGTCTCCCTTTATTAGCCAGCACAGTGCTGGATCACGGCATGTGTCCCCACCTGGCCCTTTTGTTATTCTTTTCTGAATGCCAACAGCCAGCCAGGCACCTGGTAGAACATTCTGTAAGGCTCCTTTTTGTCCTCGCCTCTCCCTGGCAGCTGCCTTCATTCTTTTCGGTGAAGAAAGACTGCTTTTGGAACCCTGAGAATCTGGTTGTGTGATCTGGTGGCATGCCTGCCAAGGTGGCTGCTGCAGATGACAATTCCTGGGAACAGGTGCCGTCTATTTGCTTTGCTCTACAATCTGGGCCTGTGACTTGACTTTACCCACAGAACCTATGGAAGTGACTTTCTGAGGCCTGCAAACCCAGGCGTTAGGAGGTCAGCGAGCTGCTGTGTGAAGAAGTCCTGGCAGGTTTAGCAGGTGATCAGAAGCCTCAGGAGAGAGAGCAGAGCCACAGACTGCAGTCATCCTCGGTCAAAGAAAAGTGAGTGGGGCCTTAATGAATAGCCTTACCCCAGACGCCCACTCTTGGCAGCACTGTGTGGGGGAAGGAGAGCCATTCCTGCCCCAGTTGCAAAATCATGAACAGTAATGCGTGGCTACACAGTGATCCAGTCCTGATTTTCCTTGTGTGGTTATTTACTTAGTTTAAAAAAAAAAAAAAAAACCAGCCTTTTCAAATTTAGTGTGTGTGCGTGCGTGCACGTGCATGCCACAAGGTGCTTGTGGAAGTCAGAGAAAAACCTGCGGGAGGTAGCTCTCTCATCCTACCAGCTGAGTCCTGGGAATTGAACTCAGGTCATCAACCTGGGCAGCAAGCACCTTTACACACTGAGCCATTTCACCTGCCCAGTTTCCCCTCCTGCTGCTGGACTTTCAACCCAGGGCCTCACACACACTATGTGAGCGCTCCACTGCTGAGCTGAGCTACCCCTCCAGCCCCCGGTTTTTGATGGTTTGTTTTCTTTTTGAAATATCGTCTCATGAAATAGTTCGCCCTGGCCAGGAGCTCACTTTGTCATTTTGGGTACCTTTAGCAAGTGACAGCCCTCCATTAACTCAGGCTACCCTCGTGCCCAGCTCAGTCCTCACTTCTGTTGTTTTTGTTTCATTTTTAAATTTGTTTTACAGTGATGGAGATAGAACCTAGGGCCAAATGTAAATGTCCTATCAGCAAGACAACATTCTCCACCCTCACACACATTCCGACGTGTGTGTGTGTGTGTGTGTGTGTGTGTGTGTGTGTGTGTGTGTGTGTTTGAGACAGGGTCTCTCTCTCTATAGTCCTGTCTGGTCTTGAATTCAAAGAGCTCTGACTCCCTGTGCCTTCTGAGTGCTGAAATTAAAGGTGTGCACCACCATGCCCAGCACCCTTAAAAAATGTTTTTATTTTTGGAGAATTTTAAAATATATTTTGGTCACATTCATTCTACTCCCTAGCTCCTCTCAGGTTCTCCAGTCTCTAGCTTTTACTCGTGGTTTTGATCATTCATACTCTACTCACCCCGGCCTGGAACTGGCTCTGCAGATGAGGCTGGCCTCAAACTCATTGATATCAGCCTACCATTGGCTCCAGGATGAGAATAAAGGCATATACATCAAATCCAGACCCATTTCATTGAGACAGGGTTTCCCTGTGTAGAACTTGCTCTGTAGACCAGGCTGGCCTTGAACACACAGAGATCCGCAGCTCTCTGCCTCCCTAGTGCTGGGACCAAAGGTGTGCGCCACCATGCCAGGCTCAGGTAATCTTTACAGTGTCCTGTGCATCTGTTTGTTTATCAACTATTGGGGTAAAGTCATCCTTAGCATCCGGCATGTTCTCCAACAAACTACATACGGAAAGGACTAAGGAAAGACTTCCAGAGATAGCTACTGTGGAATCTCTTAGTGGAAGGAAACGTTTTAGATTTGGGAAATAGACACAGTTATTCTAACACCAGACTCCTGGCTGCCAGGGTGTCAGCAAGGAGCCACTAAAACCCGTGTGGTGGTCCGTGCAGGTGACCTCAGCGCCTGGGAAGTAGAGACTGGGTAAAAGGGAAAGATCCAGAAGAACAGGCAAGGCAGGAAGGCTAAAGCAAACTGGTTGGTCTGGGTCTGTTTCTACATATTCAGTTTTGTTTTGTTTCTCAATTTGCTGTCCCTAGACTTTCCCTTCCATAAGGTCAGGCTATTTGGGACCTCTAAGGACTTCCTCATTCCAACACAATTCTTTGAATTTTTCCTTCAAATGCAAATAAAGGCACTTACCATTTGGATAGCAGTGATTAAAGAGAGGAAGGCAGTTTCTCGAAGCTCCTCCAGCTTCCCATTTTCCGAGTGTGGGTTCAGTCTTTTAAAGGCAAATGGCTCTGAGATCGGGGTGGGTGATGGAGAAGATGCTAACTGAATTTCCCAGCAGCCGACAGTTGAAAAGGAACCAAATGATAGACTATCAAATCCCACGTGAGTTGACACTGCACAGCTCTTGATAGTGAAATGTTAAGTACTTAATATTTTATTTTCATTGCGGGTCAGCATGCAATGTACCTCACAGCTATTTGTTCTCGGAACAAATGCGCATATGCTTATTAGATTTAACAATCCACGGCTCACAGTTAGTCAAGGGGTCAGGCTAAGTCTGACTCTCTCGAATGAATAAACCTCATTTGCACTCGTGGTGACAAAAACACTAGTTCTCAAACCAAAAGGGAGAGTGGAGGGCCAGCGGGGAATGGTAATTGGAAAATGCTGACTGGGTCTCCGCCCCTCCCCCATCTCCTTTCCCGGCATCTATCTTTCTGAGTGAGGAGTCACTTCTTTCCCTTCCTATGTTTTCAGGCTAGTGGCATGTGCTTTTAATTTTTAAAATGTACTATGTTTTGTTAGCCCAGGTTAGCAAACTAGAACTCCGTGTGCTCCTGCCACCTCAGCCTAAAGCGCTGAGACGGTGACCTTACTCCAGCTCCTCGCCCCCTTTTCTCCCATCTTCCTCACCATCTCCTCACCCACTTCTCTCTGCAACTCTTAAATTGAGTCGCACACCTCTACAGCGCGCTAGACAGGTTTTCTCTGAAAAGACAGCCATATTGGCACATGTCTGTATGACTTGGGAGGCGGAGGTGATGGGATACAGTAAGTTCAAGACCAGGATAGACTAGATGCGACCCTGTCTGAAAAAGCAAAACAAACTAGAGAAAGAACGGTTTCCGATCCAAGAGCTGAATCACCAGGGCAGTGGGGGTGTAAGAGCACGACACACTTGACTAACACCTCCTCCGCCCTCTCAGCCACCTTATTCTAGCCCTTTTCCGGGGATGTGGGGAGGAAATTCTGGGCCTGAGCTCTTTCTTCCCCAGTCGATGGAATGCTTGCTTCGTCACCGCTGTCACCCTTGGTGAAGGGAAGGGCGAAGATTCATCTTCACTAATACGGCGTGACTGTAATTTTTCACCCTCTGGCTATTATTAATCGTGATTCATTTCGTGAAAGAGGGAAGAAAGGTTTGTACACTCTCAAAGCACAACTAAACTGGAAGGATTTCAGGTTTGGGCGTGTAAGGGCCTTCCCTTATCCAGGGCCATTTTCCAAGGGAAATGAGTGTATTCTCTGGGGGCAAGAAGTCTGCCCCTAGCCAAGGAAACAGACTGTCTTCTTAGGGCAAGGTCTTCATAATCATGAAGAATATATTCATTCACCCTTCCATGGTTTGCTTTTGACAGCCTGGACGAACTTAATAGTACACAGCGAGGCTCCATTTTACCCTTTTTTCCCTGTAGACAAAAAAGACAACCTTCTTAACTGCCATGAGCTGTATTCCTAGCTAGTCCTGTGCCAGTCAGGAAGTATTTGGGTATTATTCAGCTTTGTTGATCAGTGATCTCTGGGCTCTCCTAGCTAAAAGTTTAGAATCTCTCCCTCCTCCCTTCCTCCCTCTTTGTCTGCCCCCACCCCCCCATAAAAGAGGAATGACTAGGGGCACTTTGTTGAGAGGCAGAACATTTGGTTAACATCAGTGAAGCTATCCATTCAATGAGGTAGGATTGGGGGGGCAGACTAACAGGATTTGGGATTTGCAGGATCTTGCTCGAGGTCACTGCTGTTCTTCTACCCCTTTGACCTGAGAACTGAGGCTGGGGTCCAGGCTCATGGATTGAGTTCTCTGAGCCTGAGCTGAATACAGGTTTGGGAAAGAGCACAAGCGGCCCTTGAGCCCAAATAAGGAGTGTAACTCAGCTGAGCACAGTGGCACACCCCTATAATGCTAACACTCAGGAAGCAGAGACGAGGAATCACTGAAAGTTTGAGCCTTGTCACGGATGCCTCAATAAAATCAAAAGGATCTGGAGAGACGGTTTAGCAGTTAAGGCATACTCATCTTTCACAAGACCCTTGGTTCTCGGCACTCACATTGGTTGGCTCATAACTTTCAACTCTGGCTCCTGGGGAATCCACCTTCCTTTTCCAGGCTCTGAAGGCACCAACACAGACACACAGAAGCATATCATTTAAAAATAAAATAATAAAATCGTCGGTGCATGCCTTTAGGGGAGAAGGAGGCGATGATGTGGTGGGACAAGCCTGTCATCCCAAGCTTTGGAGATGTAAAGGTGTTTGGGTCAGGAATACAAGGCCAGCCTCAGCTACTCCTTGTCTCAAAAAGACAAAGCAAACAAAGACCCTTCAAACTTTTTTTTTGGGGGGGGGGATGTCAAGATGTTTGTGTAGCCCTGGCTATCCTGGAACTAGCTCTGTAGACCAGACTGTCCTCAAACTCAAGAGATCCGACTGCGTCTTCCTCCTGAATGCATGTGCCACCACTGCCCAGCTCCTCCAAACCTTTAAAAAGACTAATTTTGAACAATCACAAGACCTGGATTCAAACTAAATATTTGCAAGGGTGCGGGGGTTAATTTTTGTGTGTATTGTACTTGCCTGGTGCCTGCGGAGGTCAGAAGAGGGTACTGGATCTCCTGAACTGGTGTTATAGACAGTTGTGAACTGTTATGTGGGTTCTAGGAATTGAACCCGGAGCCTCTGGAGGAGCATCCAGTGTATTCTTACTGGAAGAACCATCCCTGTAGGCCTGTGTTTGCCATTTTTAAAATACAGTGTTAGGCAAGCTGTTTTAGTTTGGTTTGTGATCTCTTTGGTATAGGAAATGGCAGTTGGCTTTGTGTGTGCTATGTCCAGTATGTTCCTCTGGGCTAATTTCCTTTTCCTTCCTTTCTTTCTTCCTTCCTTCCTCCCCCCTCTTTCTTTCTTTCTTTCTTTCTTTCTTTCTTTCTTTCTTTCTTTCTTTCTTTCATCTTTTAGCACAAGTAAGCAGAATTTTACTAATAAGTATAGTAAGAAGCCTCAGATAGAAAGATTAATCTTAGTGATTAAAGTGAGGTATGCTCTTTCAGAGGACCCAAAGTTGGTTCCTAGAACCCATATCCTCAGCTCATAAACATCCACACAGACACAAATACACATAATCTTAAAGAGAAAAGCACTTGCCTTCAATCCCAACACTTGGGAAGCAGAGACAGCATGATGTCTCTGAGGCTAACCTGGTCCACATATCAAGTACAAATCAGGACTACACAGAGAGACCCTGTCCTGACAGAAACAAAGCAACATACATACAAATGCCGAAAGGAAAAGAATGAAAAAGAAAAGCAGAAGTCAGATATGGTGGTCCATGTTTGCAATCCCAGAGCACTAGAGGCTGAAGCAGGTCCGTGCAAATTCAAGGCCATCCTGGGCTATGCTACCAGAATCTATTTCAAACAGCAATAACAAAAACAATCAGTCCCACCCACAGGGGGAAAAAAAGTAAAGAAAGAGAAGGTAAAAACCCACCATAAAGGTAAAGGAAGGAAAGCCCCACAGTGCACACACTGTGTCCACTGCTGCTGTCAACAGGCTGTAGATGCATTGCCCCAGAGTCCTGAACAGGATGCGGACATTGGACGCCCCATTGCAAACAAAGCCTTCATCTACTCTTCATCTGCCTGTTTCATAAAGAGCCTGCTTGACTGCAAGTAAATATCCTGACAAGGAGCGAGTCCAAAGCAATAGCCTGAAGTTAGCTGGCACTTAGTCTGAGAGGCTCGCCATGTGCACGTTTTCATCAGCACACGGGAACACTTTTGCTGGCTAAGAACTCTCTCCCCTTGTGAGTGCTCCTGTGGGCCTGTCCTCCTGCTGACCCGATAGTTGAAGGAGGAGGCAGATGCTCAGTGGCTGCTCAGCCCTCTGGCTATACTTTGAGCCTCAGAGAGACAAGCAGGTACATGGTTTTCTGCTGAGTTACAAATAGGGGAACATTACCAAGGAACCTGGCTCGTATGTGCTGTGTGGCTCTATGGGCTTGCCTACCCATGATTTGGCTCAAAGGAAATTGCGAGTGCTATTAAGCATTCATTATTCTGTCTCATGGTAATTTTATTTAGGTCCTAGATCTGACCGGGTGTGGTGGCCCACACCTTTAGGCCCATCTCTCAGGAGACAGAGGTGTATCACTGTGTGTTCGAAGCCAGCCTGGTCTGCATTGTGAGTTCCAGGACAGCCAGGCCTACATATTGAGACCCTGTCATGAGAAAACAAAAAACAATCAAGCAAAAAGAAGTGCTCGTTCTAGCTCTCAAGGAGAGTAGCAGTCCCCCCTTAAGGATGGTTTACTGTGTACCAGGCACCATGACAGTGCTTACAGTCACGTACACATTGGCCAGCTTTAGAAATGAGTAGGGTTGTTTCCATTGCATTTAGGTGAAGCATGATTAATAAAAAAAAAAAAAAAAAAAAAAACTCAGGGAGAAAAATTGGGGTTCAATCTGAAGACCTGAAAAGCAAAGCAGCTAGCCACTGGCTTTTACCTCAACCTCAGTCTGAAGTGGTGATCCTGCTCTGAGAGCTGTCTTCTTCCCGTTTCATAAGCCTGTAATGGTCTGCTCTCTCCCTTTAACAGACAAGCCACCCCTACCCCCCCATCCCCATGATCTTCAGCTTCCAGCCTGAGTCCTTTCTCTTTTCTGTCTCTCCCCTGAAGCCTCTCTCCGTTCTCCCCTTTCTCCTCTCTGTGTTTCTCTCTGCTCTTCTGCCTTCTCCCTTTACCCCCTCTCCTCTTTCCCTTCCATAACCCACTAAATAAATATCTAAACTCACTCTGCATGGCTTGCCTATCCATGTCTCTGTCTCTTGCCCACTGCATGGCTCCTTGCCTGGGACCAGCCACCTTCGGAGACCTGCAGCATGGTCTCGTGGCATGCCCATCTTTCTGTCTCTCCTAGCGTGGGACTGGCTGCCCCATTGAGGTTTCTCACCCACCACGCAGCAGCTGCCTGGGACTCAAGGCCTGCTGCAGCCACTGCTCGGTCCCTGCCTGGGACTGGCTGCTTAGGAGAGCCACCTAGGAGACCTGCAGCATTTTTACTTTCATCATTACAAAGCCTCTCTAGGGCTGGGATTAAAGGCATGTACCACTACTGCCTGGTTTCTATGGCAAGATAGTACAGTTACTGGGATTAAAGGTGTATGTCACCACTGCCTGGTCTGTAAGGCTGACCAGTGGGGCTGTTTTACTCTCTAATCTTCAAGCAAACTTTATTTATTAAAATACAATTGAAATGCCACTACATCTAGGGGTCAATGAGTATCTGCACTGTTTTAAGATCACACAGCTAGGCCTGGTGTGATAGCATATGCCTTTAATCCCAGCATTTGGGAGAGGCAGGTGAATCTCGGTGAGTTCAGTGCAAACATAGTCTATAAAGGAAGCTCATTCTAAATTACCCTTCATAAAGCCGGCCGTGGTGGCGCACGCCTTTAATCCCAGCACTTGGGAGGCAGAGGCCGGCGGATCTCTGTGAGTTCGAGACCAGCCTGGTCTACAAGAGCTAGTTCCAGGACAGGTTCCAAAACCACAGAGAAACCCTGTCTCGAAAAATCAAAAAAAAATTACCCTTCATAGTTCCATTCTGAAATATCCTTCCCTTTTCACTTTGTTGCTGTTCATTTGTTTGTTTGTTTGTTTTGAGACAGGGTTTCTCCGTATAACCTTGGCTCTCCTGGAACTTGCTCTGAGGACCATGCTGGCCTCAAACTCACAGAGATCCACCTGCCTCTGCCTGGTGGGATTAGAGGCATGTACCACCACTGCTACCTGGTTTCCTTTTGATTTTTCATTCTGATTTCCTAACTACCCTTTTAAGACAAAATTTAATAGAAAATTAGTCAGCTAGGCCAACCTAGTCTACAATGCAAGTTCCAGGACAACCTGGCCTGGTCTGTCACAAAGAAACCCTGTCTCAAAAAACCAAAAGTAAATAAATAATAAGAAATATAAGAAATAACCAAGGTTCTTTCCAGGCTCCATAGGATCCTGACAGCAGCGCAAGCTGGGCTGGGAGATTAAACTGCAGCTAGCAGAACAAAGGAATCCCTCACCTGTGTCGACTTTCGAAGGGCAAGGTCTCCCAGGTGAGCCAGTAGAGGTTTAGTAGATTAGTGAAGGTACTAGATAGGCTACAAGTTGCTAATTGAGAAAGTGAATCCCCCTCTTACCTTTCAGGCTTTTATCAGCTAAGAGTTTCGCAGCTAGGGAAGGTGTGAGATAGACTGTCAGGGGCAGTGTTTGTTACTACCGGGATATACAGAAGTCCTTCCTTCTCTTCCTTACACACGTCCATGCCCTATGGAGAAGTGGTATTATTGTTGTTGTTATTCGGGGCTCTCAGTGTCCAGTGGACCATATTTCCTTTTCTGGGCTCAGTTGTAGAGAGGAACA